GATGTTTTTGAAAACAGTTTGTGCCACTTTTTCTTGCTACTAATGTTAATAGGGAGTCCTGGTGTGGCGCTGTGAGTTAATGCGCCAGACTGCAAAGCCATTTGAACTGCAAGGTCGGTGGTACAATCTCACCACCTGCTCCTCGGAAACCCTATACAGGGTCGCTCTGGGTTGGAATCGACTCCACGGCACTTCACAACAACGTTAATAAGGAGTTCCTGATGGCTCAAGGGTTAAATGCCCTCCTGCTAACCAAAAGGTTGGCAACTTGAACCCACCCGTTGGATCCACAGCAGGTCCTGAAAATCTGTCTCCATAAAGATTCCTAACACAATGCTGTCGAGTTGATTCTGACTCATATAGATTCATAGTGACCCTGTATAGGGTTTCAAAGGAGCAGCTGGTAGATTTGAACCACCAACCTTGTGCTCCAGTGCTTATCCAACAGTGGCTCACCAGGACGCCTATCAACTCATAGTGTTTCCGAGGCTGCTAATCTTTATGGGAGCAGAATGTCTCATCTTGCTCCTGCAGAACAGCCGATGGGTTTGAACTACCAACCATGTGTTAGCAGTCCATTGTTTATCCTACAGCAGCACCAAGGCTTCATTCCATAAAGATTACAGCTCAGAAAACCCTGTGGGGGCAATTCTAGTCTGTCCCGGGAGTCCCTGAGAGTCAACAGCATGAAACAAGAATATATTCACAACAAATGAATAGAGTGGTCAGAGTCATTAATATGTAAATCAACTTCATTCTGTCTTTAAAGGAACTATGGGCTGGATCCAGTGTCCCTTTTGAAAACACTTCCCTTTCCATTCCCCAAAGTCAGGAACCACACGTCTTCTGGTGAAATCTCTCAGGCGCTGAGATTTTTTTGCATTTTATGGTTTTTACAGGTTGCTACCAGCGGTGAAGCCTATGTTCCTGATTTCTTTAGACTGGAGCAGCTGCAACAGGAATTTAACTTTGTGTCAGATGAGGAATTAAATAGATCCAAACGATTTAGGCTTCTTCATCTTAGAAATCAGGAAGTACCAGAGTTCCGAAATTATAAGCAAATCCCAGTATATGACCGTGAAATCCAGGAAAAAGTATTCCAGGTAAGAAACTTCAAGAAATTAATAAAATTATATATATACATATATGGAGTCCTGGTGTAGCACAGTAGGATAAGCACTGGACCATAAGGTTCGTTTGAACCACAAGGTCAGTGGTTCAACTCCACCAACTGTTTCTTGGAAAATAGTTCAAATCTACCAACTGCTCCACAGAAGAACAATGAGATTTTCTGCTCCCATAAAGATCTACAGCCTCAGAAACCCCGTAAAGGGTCCCCAAGCCAACGGCACAGCACCACCATCACCACCGTATACATGTACGTGTGTGTATATATATATATACTGTCGTTGTTAAGTACCATCAAGTCAATTTTGACTCATAGTGACCCTGTATAGGGTTTCTGAGGAGTAGAACCTCTTAAACCACCAACATCTTAGTTAAAACTGACCTTGTGATCCAGTGCTTATCCTACCATGCCACACCAGGACTCTGTATCCTGGTGTGGCACTGTGGGCTAATGTGCCAGACTGCAAAGTCATTTTAACTGCAAGGGTGGTGGTTCAAGCTCACCAGCTGCTCCTTGGAAACCCTATACAGGGTTGCTATGGGTCAGAACTGACTAAATGGCACTTAACAATAAATATAT